AGGTCGGTGAAGAAGGCTCGGTTTAATTTCAGTTCCTCGTCCTGTTTCCTGAACTGTGTTTCACATGATGATTTGGTCTTATTTTTTCACCTCATACAGATCACAGATCGTCAAAAGAAACTTCTCACTTCTCACATTTACATTATGTTTTTTTTCCAAACTAAAGGTCCGGAACTTGGATATTGTTTGGATGTTTTTGTCGTCGCTTTGATTAATTGATCATTAGTCATGATCATGATACACTCTTGTGAATTTATTGAACAAAAACGTCACTTCATTAGTGAGTGTTGATTGGGAACAGGTGATTAAAACTCAGAAAGGGACCAACATTAAGACAATGAAGCCTTCATCATATCAGTATATTGTTGGAAGGTCTTCCTTAGCTGTGAATGAGTGTGTGTGTTGAGCAGACTGACGGACGACCTGCAGGGTGAGACACTCGTTCAGACCCAAGAGAGTAACTGCTGGCCACCTGACTCCAGTTGATCAGGTCCCTGGATGACACTTGCTGTTATCTGTTGTTGCTGCTGTTCTTGCGAGACGGAAGCGTGACCAGTTGTGCCGTGGATGTCCTGCCTTAAATCCCAATCAGGATCCCTGGGCAGTGATTTTTTTATTTCCTGGTCCTGGAGCTTAACACCAGGTTTTATAATGCTCAGTGAGTGAACTGTGGTGCAATGGCCCCTTTCAGTGAAGGATAAGATAAGATCACTTTATTGGACATATAAATTGCTTGCATTAGCAATTTGTCTTTTCACAGACCCCAGCTTGCTCTCCATGAGACACACAGACAGGGAGAGGAGCTGGGGGTCAGAGTGCAGGGTCAGCCATTTATACGGCGCCCCTGGAGCAGCTGGGGTGAAGGGCCTTGCTCAGGGGCCCAACAGAGTAGGATTCTTCTGCTGGCCGAAGAATACGAACCGACAACCTTCCAGCCGCAGGCGCAGATCCTGAGCCACAGAGCCACCGCCCCGCCCCCCAAAAAATGGATTTGGATTCATATCAAGTCATTAAGGGTGCAGCTGGAACAGAAGCCAGAAGATACAATTAGCCCAGTAGAGCTGTGATCGGACCAGGAATTGGATGATTCCTGCCTGCTGGGTAGCATCCTCACAGCCCTGCAGGGGGACAGAGGGGCCCTGTGCCCGGATTAAGGAGAGGGGTGCTTCAGTCCAGTCCCCGGCCAGCAGTGAGCCCAGGATCCGGTGTGAGATCTCTGATGCAGGCGTGTGCTGCGTGTGCTGTGTTGTCTTTCTCCTCCTCCTGCTGACCTGCGTGTCCTGTCTTCCCAGCGGAGGGACGCACTCCAGAGCGG